ACCACAGTAGACCACACCACAACAGTAGACCACACCACCACAGTAGTAACACCACCACAGTAGACCACACCACAACAGTAGACCACACCACCACAGTAGTAACACCACCACAGTAGTAACACCACCACAGTAGTAACACCACCACAGTAGACCACACCACCACAGCCAGTAGTAACACCACCACAGTAGACCACACCACCACAGTAGTAACACCACCACAGTAGTAACACCACCACAGTAGACCACACCACCACAGTAGACCACACCACCACAGTAGACCACACCACCACAGCAGTAACACCACCACAGTGTAAACACCACAGTAGACCACACCACCACAGTAGACCACACCACCACAGTAGACCACACCACCACAGTAGTAACACACCACGTAGACCACATAGACCACACCACCACAGTAGACCACACCACCACAGTAGTAACACCACCACAGTAGTAACACCACCCAGTAGTAACACACCACCACAGTAGTAACACCCACCACATAGACCACACCACCACAGTAGTAACCACACACATGCACACCACAGTCACCCCACACAACCGACCCACCCAGTAGACACACCACCACAGTAGTACCACACACCACAGTAGTAACACCACCACAGTAGTCACACACCACACAGTAGTAACACACAACCACAAGTAGTAACACCACCACAGTAGTCCACACCACAGCCACCACAGTAGTACCACACCACCACAGTAGTACACCACATTAACCACCACAGAGTAACACACCACCACAGTAGTAACACCACCACAGTAGACCACACCACCCACAGTAGTAACACCACCACAGTAGACCACACCACCACAGTAGTAACACCACCACAGTAGACCACACCACCACAGTAGACCACACCACCACAGTAGTAACACCACCACAGTAGACCACACCACCACAGTAGACCACACCACCACAGTAGTAACACCACCACAGTAGTAACACCACCACAGTAGACCACACCACCACAGTAGTAACACCACCACAGTAGTAACACCACCACAGTAACCCAAACCAAGTAGTACACACACACACCACCACAGTAGTACCACACCACCACAGTAACCACCCACCACAGTAGTACCAACACCACCACTAGTTAACACCACCACAGTAGTACACACCACTACACCACCACAGTAGTAACACATCCCCCCACAGTACCACCACCAATAGACCACACCACCACAGTAGTACACACCACCACAGTAGTAACACCACCACAGTAGTAACACCACCACAGTAGTACCACACCACCACAGTAGACCACACACCACACAGTAGACACACCACCACAGTCAGTAACACCACCACAGTAGCTAACACCACCACTAGTAACACCACCACAGTAGACCACACCACCACAGTAGTACCACACCACCACAGTAGTAACACCACCACAGTAGACCACACCACCACAGCAGTAACACCACCACAGTAGTAACACCACAACAAGTAGACCACACCACCAACAGCAAGCAGTAACACACACGTAGTAACACCACCACAGTACAGTAGACCAACCACCACAGGGAGTAACACCACCACAGTAGACACCACCAACAACGCAAGTAAAACCACAACAGTAGTATACACACACAACAGCAATCAATAACACCAACCACAGCAGGAAACACCACCACAGCTACAGCAGCAACACCACCACAGTAGACACACCAACACAGTAGTAACACCACCACATAGCAGTAAGAGTTAACAACACCACAGTAAGAACACCCACAACAGTCGTAACACCACCACATAGACCACACCACCACAGTAGTAAACACACCACAGTAGGACCACACCACCACAGTAGACAACAACCACCACACAAGTAACAACAACCACAGCAGTAACACCACCACAGTAGACCACACCACCACAGTAGACCACACCACCACAGTAGTAACACCACCACAGTAGACCACACCACCACAGTAGTAACACCACCACAGTAGTAACACCACCACAGTAGTAACACCACCACAGTAGACCACACCACCACAGTAGACCACACCACCACAGTAGTAACACCACCACAGCAGTAACACCACCACAGTAGTAACACCACCACAGTAGACCACACCACCACAGTAGACCACACCACCACAGTAGTAACACCACCACAGTCAGTAACACCACCACAGTAGTACACACCACCACAGTAGACCACACCACCACAGTAGACCACACCACCACAGTAGTAACACCACCACAGTAGTAACACCACCACAGTAGTAACACCACCACAGTAGTAACACCACCACAGTAGTAACACCTAACACCACAGTAGTAACACCACCACAGTAGACACACACACCACACAGTAGACCACACCACCACAGTAGTAACACCACCACACAGTAACACCACCACAGTAGACACACCACCACATGTACACCACAACCACCACCACAGTAGTACCACACCACCACAGTAGTACACAACCACCACAGAGTAACACCACCACAGTAGTAACACCACCACAGTAGACCACACCACACAGTAGACCACACCACCACAGCAGTAACACCACCACAGTAGTAACCACACCACCACAGTAGTAACACCACCACAGTACGACCACACCACCAACAAGTCAACCACAGTAACACCACACAGCAGTAACACCACCACAGTAGACCACACACACAGCCACAAGTAGACCACACCACCACAGTAGTAACACCACCACAGTAGTAACACCACCACAGTAGTAACACCACCACAGTAGACCACACCACCACAGTAGTAACACCACCACAGTAGACCACACCACCACAGTAGACCACACCACCACAGTAGTAACACCACCACAGTAGTAACACCACCACAGTAGTACACACCCACCACAGTAGTAACACCACCACAGTAGAACCACCACGATACCACCACAGTAGACACACCACCACAGTAGTAACCACCACCACAGTACACACCACCACATACACCACCACAGTAGAACACCACCACAGTAGACCACACACCACCACAGTAGTACCACACCACCACAGATTAACACCACCACAGTCAGTACCACCACATCACCACAGCAGTAACACCACCACAGTAGTCACACCACCACAGTGACACCCACTCACACAGTACCCATCCACCACCACAGTAGAAACCACACCACCACAGTAGTACCACACACCACCACACAGTACCACACACTTACCACACAGTAACACCACCACAGTAGAACACCACACAGTGTACCCACACAGTAGTTAACACCCCAACAGTAGTAACAACCAGCCACATTATAGTAACACCACCACAGTAACCACACCACCATAGTAGTACACCAACCACATAGACCACACACCACAGTTGTACACAGAACACCACCACAGTATTACACACACCACAGTAGTACCACCCACCACAGTAGAACACCCCAGTTTGAACACCACCACAGAATACACACACCACATGTAGCCACACCACGACATCGACTAGAACACCACCACAGTAGTACACACTCACACAGTAGACATCACACCACAGTAGTAACGACCACAATCAGTACACACTCACACAGTGTACACACATAGTACCACACAGGAGTAACCCACCACAGAACAGTCCCACCACAGTGTGACCACACAGAATCAGTACCACTACCACAGTAGTTAATCACGGAGAAACCACAATATCACCACACATGTGACCACACCACCACATCAGTACCACACCACCAGTAGGAACCACCCAGTAACCACATAACACCACCACAGTAGTTTACACCGACCACAGAACAACCACCACAGCATGACCTACACTAGAACCACAGTAGTAACCACCACACATGTTGACGCACACCACACAGCAGTAACACCACCACAGTGTGAACCCCACAGTAGACCACAAACTCACCACAATGTTGTAACACACCACGAATAGACAACACACCATCAGTATGTACCGACCACATAGACACACACACCAATCAGCCACACCATAGGTAACCACACCAGTATACCCCACACCACCATGTTGGTACCGGGGGAACAGAACCATTCCACTACAGTGCATTGGTACCGGGAACAATAGTCCACTACAATATTGTTTGTACCTACGGTAGACACACAGTGTAATCACACCACATGTAGTACACACAGAACCAATCATCCACCTAATGGTTTGTACTGGGAACAAATCAAGTAACACATATGCCACCAACTGGTAACACACATCCAGTCACACTACATGTTTTGACAACAATGGGCAGACAGAACCAGTCCACTACATGTTTAGAGTACTGGGGGAACAGAATAGTCCAAACTATGGTGTTGGTACCATGGGAACAGAATCAGTTGTATACATGTGTTAGGTATCAGGGTGGAACACAGAATCATCCAACTACCATTTATGTACCTTACAAATAGTCAACATGTTTTAGTACGAGAAACATCAAAGAAGTCATAACATGTGTTGTATGGAGAACAGAATTAGTACGCAGAATCAGTCCACTATGTGTGTTTGGTACCGGGGGAACAGGATGGAGGAATGTGTATACATGTTGCATTCGTGTGTGTGTAATAGGTGTGTGAACAATGAATTTGCATTAATCAAATAATTGTTCCTTATATGTTACATTTCATATAATGTTGTAACATATTATTTTTGAAATAAAGAAAACAATCATTGAAATTGATTAACTTTTTTGTCTGAAAATCAAATGAACTTTTCCTTAACTGCGTTACCCACTCCAGTCAGCAGATGGCGAAACGCTTCTTCAGCAACGATATGGCCACTGCTTCAACCACCTCAGAAGCTTTTTAGACCGTTTCTGGGTATATTAGCCACTGTGTTTTAAACACATTTTGTCATATATAACGTTACTGGGTTACCCTATTTAATTTAATATTTACGTTGTTGTTAGCTAGCTGTCTCGTTAAGTTAGCACTAGTCCAGTCGCTAATGCTAACTAGCTAGCTAACATCCCCCGACCATGAGCTCACTAAGCTACTCTCCTCCTGCTAAAGAAGAGGAGGTCTGCTGGACGGAGAAAGAAGCTCTAGTGAAAGAGGAGGAGGAAGAGGAGGATGTTACAATACAAAAACAAGTAGAGGGTGAAGCTGATACCGTGAAAGAAGAAGAGAAAGACGTTACAGTGAAAGAAGAGGAAGACGCGTTCAGAGTGAAAGAGGAGGAGGATGTTACAGTGAAAGAAGAGGAAGACGCGTTCAGAGTGAAAGAGGAGGAGGATGTTACAGTGAAAGAAGAGGAAGACGCGTTCAGAGTGAAAGAGGAGGAGGATGTTACAGTGAAAGAAGAGGAAGACGCGTTCAGAGTGAAAGAGGAGGAGGATGTTACAGTGAAAGAAGAGGAAGACGCGTTCAGAGTGAAAGAGGAGGAGGATGTTACAGTGAAAGAAGAGGAGAAAGACGTTACAGTGAAAGAGGAGGAGGGGGAGATGACTGTCACATTGGAGGAGGAGGAAGAAGAACAGGAGGAGACCGGAGACTGATTAACACCAGTAAGTAATATACAGTATTCAGACCCCTTGACCTTTTACGTTACAGCCTTATTCTAAAATTGAATAAATATTTGTTATTTCTTCATCAATCTACACACAATACCCCATAATGACAAAGTGAAAACAGGTTTTTAGAAACTTTGGCAAGTGTATTAAAATTAAAAAACAGAAATACCTTATTTACATAAGTATTCAGAACCTTTGCTATGAGACTCGAAATTGAGCTAAGGTTCATCCTGTTGCCATTGATTAACCTTGAGATGTTTCTACAACTTGATTGGACTCCACCTGCGGTAAATTCAATTGATTGGACATGATTTGGAAAGGCACACACCTGTCTATATAAGGTCCCACAGTTGACAGTGCATGTCAGAGCAAAAACCAAGCCATGAGGTCAAAGGAATTGTCCGTAGAGCTCCGAGACAAGATTGTGTCGAGGCACAGATCTGGGGAAGGGTACCGAAACATTTCTGCAGCATTGAAGGTCCCCAAGAACACAGTGGCCTCCATCATTCTTGAATGGAAGAAGTATAGAACCACAAAGACTCTTCCTTGAGCTGGCCGCCCGGCCAAACTGAGCAATCGGGGGAGAAGGGCCTTGGTCAGGGAGGTGACCAAGAACCCGATGGTCACTTTGAGAGAGCTCCAGCGTTCCTCTCTGGAGATGGGAGAAATTTCCAGAAGGACAACCATCTCTGCAGCACTCCACCAATCAGGCATTTATGGTAGAGTGGCCAGACAGAAGTCACTCCTCAGTAAAAGGCAAATGACAGCCCGCTTGGAGTTTGCCAAAAGGCACCTAAAGGACTCCGACCATGAGAAAAAAGATTCTCTGGTCTGATGAAACCAAGATTGAACTCTTTGGCCTGAATGCCAAGTGTCATGTCTGGAGGAAACCTGGCATCATCCCTACGGCGAAGCAAGGTGGTGGCAGCATCATGCTGTGGGGATGTTTTTCAGCGGCAGGGACTGGGAGACTAGTCAGGATCGAGGGAAAGATGAACGGAGCAAAGGACAGAGATCCTTGATGAAAACCTGCTCCAGAGCGCTCAGAACCTCAGACTGGGGCGAAGGTTCACCTTCCAACAGGACAACGATCCTAAGCACACAGCCAAGACAATGCAGGAGTGGCTTCGGGACAAGTCTCTGAATGTCCTTGAGTGGCCCAGCCAGAGACCGGACTTGAACCCGATCTAACATCTCTGGAGAGACCTGAAAATAGCTGTGCAGCGATGCTCCCCATCCAACCTGACAGAGCTTGAGAGGGTCTGCAGAGAAGTATGGGAGAAACTCCCCAAATACAGGTGTGTCAAGCTTGTAGCTGTACATCAAACAGGCTCGTTCTGTTCAGGACCACCCACTCAAGTTTTTTAATCCTATATCTCTTGACACATTCATGAAAAGTCATGGCCTCTAGACCTTCAAGCTGCATACTGGACCCTATTCCAACTAAACTACTGAAAGAGCTACTTCCTGTGCTTGGCCCTCCTATGTTGAACATAATAAAAGGCTCCCTATCCGCCTGATGTGAACCAAACTCACTAAAAGTGGCAGTAATAAAGCCTCTCTTGAAAAAGCCAAACCTTGACCCAGAAAATGTTTTCAAAAACTCGGCCTATATCGAATCTCCCATTCCTCTCAAAAAGTTTAGAAAAAGCTGTCGTGTTGCAACTCACTGCCTTCCCGAAGACAAATAATGTATCCGAAAAACGCTTCTGTCTGGTTTTAGACCCCATCATAGCACTGAGACTGCACTCGTGAAGATGGTAAATTACCTTTTAATGGCGTCAGACCAAGGCTCTGCATCTGTCCTCTTGCTCCTAAACCTTTGTGCTGCTTTGACGCCATCGATCACCACATTATTTTGGAGAGATTGGAAACCTTAATTGGTCCACACGGACAAGTTCTTTCCTGGTTTAGATCTTATCTGCCGGAAAGATATCAGTTCGTCTCTGTGGATGGTTTGTCATCTGACAAATCAATTGTACGTTTCGGTGTTCCTCAAGGTTCCGTTTTAGGACCACTATTGTTTTCACTATATATTCTCCCTCTTGGCGATGTCATTCGGAAACCCAATGTTAACTTTCATTGCTATGCGGACGACACACAGCTCTACATTTCGATGAAACATGGTGAAGCCCCAAAATGGCCTACCCTGGAAGCCTGTGTTTCAGACATAAGGAAGTGGATGGCTGAATTTGTTTTCCTTTTCAACTCGGACAAAACAAGAGATGCTAGTTTTACGTCCAAAGAAACAAAGAGATCTTCTGTTGGATCTGACAATTAATCTTGATGGTTGTACAGTCGTCTCAAAAAAAAAAACTGTGAAGGACCTCAATTTGATATTGCCATTTTGATTTCAACCCTCCTATCACTGGTTGTACTGTTGATGACGTGATCTGTGATGGAGGTGATGATGAAGGTGGTTTAGAAGTAATAAACGTGTTTAATGATGAATGTGGTGAAGAGTATTTGCATTACATTCTGTTGGCTCCAGACGGAGCTCCTGCTAAAGATGATCAGCCTGGATGTCTGCTTAGGCGTTCTGTCCAGAGGGAGCTCCTCCTACAGATGATCAGACTGGATGTCTGCTTAGGCGTTCTGTCCAGAGGGAGCTCCTCTACAGATGATCAGACTGGATGTCTGCTTAGGCGTTCTGTCCAGAGGGAGCTCCCCTCCTACAGATGATCAGACTGGATGTCTGCTTAGGCGTTCTGTCCAGAGGGAGCTCCCCTCCTACAGATGATCAGACTGGATGTCTGCTTAGGCGTTCTGTCCAGAGGGAGCTCCCCTCCTACAGATGATCAGACTGGATGTCTGCTTAAGCGTTCTGTCCAGAGGGAGCTCCTCCTACAGATGATCAGACTGGATGTCTGCTTAGGCGTTCTGTCCAGAGGGAGCTCCTCTACAGATGATCAGACTGGATGTCTGCTTAGGCGTTCTGTCCAGAGGGAGCTCCCCTCCTACAGATGATCAGACTGGATGTCTGCTTAGGCGTTCTGTCCAGAGGGAGCTCCCCTCCTACAGATGATCAGACTGGATGTCTGCTTAGGCGTTCTGTCCAGAGGGAGCTCCCCTCCTACAGATGATCAGACTGGATGTCTGCTTAGGCGTTCTGTCCAGAGGGAGCTCCTCCTACAGATGATCAGACTGGATGTCTGCTTAGGCGTTCTGTCCAGAGGGAGCTCCTCCTACAGATGATCAGACTGGATGTCTGCTTAGGCGTTCTGTCCAGAGGGAGCTCCTCCTACAGATGATCAGACTGGATGTCTGCTTAGGCGTTCTGTCCAGAGGGAGCTCCTCCTACAGATGATCAGACTGGATGTCTGCTTAGGCGTTCTGTCCAGAGGGAGCTCCCCTCCTACAGATGATCAGACTGGATGTCTGCTTAGGCGTTCTGTCCAGAGGGAGCTCCCCTCCTACAGATGATCAGACTGGATGTCTGCTTAGGCGTTCTGTCCAGAGGGAGCTCCCCTCCTACAGATGATCAGACTGGATGTCTGCTTAGGCGTTCTGTCCAGAGGGAGCTCCTCCTACAGATGATCAGACTGGATGTCGCTGAACCAAAATAACTGGGTCCGCCTGAAGGAAATTGACATAGGCTTGGGTGCCAAGTCAGTCCTCAAGGTAGTGGGAGAATTTAGAAGTATTACTTTTCTGTCAAATGATGCAGACAGCAGATAGTTTTCTATTGTATTAAGTCATTCAGCACTATTTACAGAACCTCTGTAAACTGCAGGAACTGCAGAGAAAATCCAGTGTAGGAGAGCTCACCGTCCTAGAGTTAGGAGGGACTGCATGAAGGGTATGTCAAACATCCTAAAGCCAGTGTAGGAGAGCTCACCGTCCTAGAGTTAGGAGGGACTGCATGAAGGGTATGTCAGACATCCTAAAGCCAGTGTAGGAGAGCTCACCGTCCTAGAGTTAGTAGGGACTGCATGAAGGGTATGTCAAACATCCTAAAGCCAGTGTAGGAGAGCTCACCCGTCCTAGAGTTAGGAGGGACTGCATGAAGGGTATGTCAAACATCCTAAAGCCAGTGTAGGAGAACTCACCGTCCTAGAGTTAGGAGGGACTGCATGAAGGGTATGTCAAACATTCTAAAGCCAGTGTAGGAGAGCTCACCCGTCCTAGAGTTAGGAGGGACTGCATGAAGGGTATGTCAAACATCCTAAAGCCAGTGTAGGAGAGCTCACCCGTCCTAGAGTTAGGAGGGACTGAATGAAGGGTATGTCAGACATCCTAAAGCCAGTGTAGGAGAGCTCACCCGTCCTAGAGTTAGGAGGGACTGCATGAAGGGTATGTCAGACATCCTAAAGCCAGTGTAGGAGAACTCACCGTCCTAGAGTTAGGAGGGACTGCATGAAGGGTATGTCAAACATCCTAAAGCCAGTGTAGGAGAGCTCACCCGTCCTAGAGTTAGGAGGGACTGCATGAAGGGTATGTCAAACATCCTAAAGCCAGTGTAGGAGAACTCACCATCCTAGAGTTAGGAGGGACTGCATGAAGGGTATGTCAGACATCCTAAAGCCAGTGTAGGAGAGCTCACCCATCCTAGAGTTAGGAGGGACTGCATGAAGGGTATGTCAAACATCCTAAAGCCAGTGTAGGAGAACTCACCATCCTAGAGTTAGGAGGGACTGCGTGAAGGTATGTCAAACATCCTAAAGCCAGTGTAGGAGAGCTCACCCGTCCTAGAGTTAGGAGGGACTGCATGAAGGGTATGTCAGACATCCTAAAGCCAGTGTAGGAGAACTCACCGTCCTAGAGTTAGGAGGGACTGCATGAAGGGTATGTCAAACATCCTAAAGCCAGTGTAGGAGAGCTCACCCGTCCTAGAGTTAGGAGGGACTGCATGAAGGGTATGTCAGACATCCTAAAGCCAGTGTAGGAGAGCTCACCCGTCCTAGAGTTAGGAGGGACTGCATGAAGGGTATGTCAGACATCCTAAAGCCAGTGTAGGAGAGCTCACCCGTCCTAGAGTTAGGAGGGACTGCATGAAGGGTATGTCAAACATCCTAAAGCCAGTGTAGGAGAACTCACCGTCCTAGAGTTAGGAGGGACTGCATGAAGGGTATGTCAAACATCCTAAAGCCAGTGTAGGAGAGCTCACCCGTCCTAGAGTTAGGAGGGACTGCATGAAGGGTATGTCAAACATCCTAAAGCCAGTGTAGGAGAGTTCACCGTCCTAGAGTTAGGAGGGACTGCATGAAGGGTATGTCAAACATCCTAAAGCCAGTGTAGGAGAACTCACCGTCCTAGAGTTAGGAGGGACTGCATGAAGGGTATGTCAAACATCCTAAAGCCAGTGTAGGAGAGCTCACCCGTCCTAGAGTTAGGAGGGACTGCATGAAGGGTATGTCAAACATCCTAAAGCCAGTGTAGGAGAGTTCACCGTCCTAGAGTTAGGAGGGACTGCATGAAGGGTATGTCAAACATCCTAAAGCCAGTGTAGGAGAACTCACCCGTCCTAGAGTTAGGAGGGACTGCATGAAGGGTATGTCAAACATCCTAAAGCCAGTGTAGGAGAGCTCACCATCCTAGAGTTAGGAGGGACTGCATGAAGGGTATGTCAAACATCCTAAAGCCAGTGTAGGAGAACTCACCATCCTAGAGTTAGGAGGGACTGCATGAAGGGTATGTCAGACATCCTAAAACCAGTGTAGGAGAGCTCACCCGTCCTAGAGTTAGGAGGGACTGCATGAAGGGTATGTCAGACATCCTAAAGCCAGTGTAGGAGAGCTCACCCGTCCTAGAGTTAGGAGGGACTGCATGAAGGGTATGTCAAACATCCTAAAGACAGTGTAGGAGAACTCACCATCCTAGAGTTAGGAGGGACTGCATGAAGGGTATGTCAGACATCCTAAAGCCAGTGTAGGAGAACTCACCGTCCTAGAGTTAGGAGGGACTGCATGAAGGGTATATCAGACATCCTAAAGCCAGTGTAGGAGAGCTCACCCGTCCTAGAGTTAGGAGGGACTGCATGAAGGGTATGTCAGACATCCTAAAGCCAGTGTAGGAGAGTTCACCGTCCTAGAGTTAGGAGGGACTGCATGAAGGGTATGTCAAACATCCTAAAGCCAGTGTAGGAGAACTCACCGTCCTAGAGTTAGGAGGGACTGCATGAAGGGTATGTCAAACATCCTAAAGCCAGTGTAGGAGAACTCACCCGTCCTAGAGTTAGGAGGGACTGCATGAAGGGTATGTCAAACATCCTAAAGCCAGTGTAGGAGAGCTCACCATCCTAGAGTTAGGAGGGACTGCATGAAGGGTATGTCAAACATCCTAAAGCCAGTGTAGGAGAGCTCACCGTCCTAGAGTTAGGAGGGACTGCATGAAGGGTATGTCAGACATCCTAAAGCCAGTGTAGGAGAGCTCAACCGTCCTAGAGTTAGGAGGGACTGCATGAAGGGTATGTCAGACATCCTAAAGCCAGTGTAGGAGAGCTCACCCGTCCTAGAGTTAGGAGGGACTGCATGAAGGGTATGTCAGACATCCTAAAACCAGTGTAGGAGAGCTCACCCGTCCTAGAGTTAGGAGGGACTGCATGAAGGGTATGTCAGACATCCTAAAGCCAGTGTAGGAGAGCTCACCCGTCCTAGAGTTAGGAGGGACTGCATGAAGGGTATGTCAGACATCCTAAAGCCAGTGTAGGAGAGCTCACCCGTCCTAGAGTTAGGAGGGACTGCATGAAGGGTATGTCAAACATCCTAAAGCCAGTGTAGGAGAGCTCACCCGTCCTAGAGTTAGGAGGGACTGCATGAAGGGTATGTCAGACATCCTAAAGCCAGTGTAGGAGAGCTCACCCGTCCTAGAGTTAGGAGGGACTGCATGAAGGGTATGTCAGACATCCTAAAGCCAGTGTAGGAGAGCTCACCCGTCCTAGAGTTAGGAGGGACTGCATGAAGGGTATGTCAAACATCCTAAAGCCAGTGTAGGAGAGCTCACCCGTCCTAGAGTTAGGAGGGACTGCATGAAGGGTATGTCAAACATCCTAAAGCCAGTGTAGGAGAGCTCACCCGTCCTAGAGTTAGGAGGGACTGCATGAAGGGTATGTCAGACATCCTAAAGCCAGTGTAGGAGAACTCACCATCCTAGAGTTAGGAGGGACTGCATGAAGGGTATGTCAGACATCCTAAAGCCAGTGTAGGAGAGCTCACCCGTCCTAGAGTTAGGAGGGACTGCATGAAGGGTATGTCAGACATCCTAAAGCCAGTGTAGGAGAACTCACCCGTCCTAGAGTTAGGAGGGACTGCATGAAGGGTATGTCAGACATCCTAAAGCCAGTGTAGGAGAACTCACCGTCCTAGAGTTAGGAGGGACTGCATGAAGGGTATGTCAAACATCCTAAAGCCAGTGTAGGAGAACTCACCGTCCTAGAGTTAGGAGGGACTGCATGAAGGGTATGTCAGACATCCTAAAGCCAGTGTAGGAGAGCTCACCCGTCCTAGAGTTAGGAGGGACTGCATGAAGGGTATGTCAGACATCCTAAAGCCAGTGTAGGAGAACTCACCCGTCCTAGAGTTAGGAGGGACTGCATGAAGGGTATGTCAAACATCCTAAAGCCAGTGTAGGAGAACTCACCATCCTAGAGTTAGGAGGGACTGCATGAAGGGTATGTCAAACATCCTAAAGCTAGTGTTGGAGAGCTCATCCGTCCTAGAGTTAGGAGGGACTGCATGAAGGGTATGTCAAACATCCTAAAGCCAGTGTAGGAGAGCTCACCCGTCCTAGAGTTAGGAGGGACTGCATGAAGGGTATGTCAAACATTCCTAAAGCCAGTGTAGGAGAACTCACCGTCCTAGAGTTAGGAGGGACTGCATGAAGGGTAGGTCAGACATCCTAAAGCCAGTGTAGGAGAGCTCACCCGTCCTAGAGTTAGGAGGGACTGCATGAAGGGTATGTCAAACATTCCTAAAGCCAGTGTAGGAGAGCTCACCCGTCCTAGAGTTAGGAGGGACCGCATGAAGGGTATGTCAAACATTCCTAAAGCCAGTGTAGGAGAACTCACCCTTCCTAGAGTTAGGAGGGACTGCATGAAGGGTAGGTCAGACATCCTAAAGCCAGTGTAGGAGAACTCACCCGTCCTAGAGTTAGGAGGGACTGCATGAAGGGTATGTCAAACATCCTAAAGCCAGTGTAGGAGAACTCACCCATCCTAGAGTTAGGAGGGACTGCGTGAAGGGTATGTCAAACATCCTAAAGCCAGTGTAGGACGAGCCCCCTGAAATACCCCCACCGTAAGACAGATTGCGTGTTTGGACCCCCACTGCCATGTAGTCCGATCCAGACTTGGAACGTTTCTGCTAGACAAGCCGTTGTCCAGGAGGTGTGTCTTACGGTAGGGGCGGCAGGTAGCTTAGTGGGGTAAGAGCGTTGTGCCAGTAACCGAAAGGTCGCTGGTTCTAATCCCCGAGCCGACTAGGTGAAAAATCTGTCGATGTGCCCTTGAGTAAGGCACTTAACCCTAATTGCTCCTGTAAGTCGCTCTGGATGAGAGCGTCTGCTAAATGACTAAAATGTAATGTAAAATGTGTCTGCTGGTAGGAATAGTTTTCATAGAATAGTTCTGGAAAAGGTTTTGTTCCTGATTTATTACCAAATGTAAACACAATTATAACTTCTAGAAGTGATACAATGATTAATCATCTAAATAATAATTGTCACTTATTTCCTTTCATTTTTTGTTACAGGTGATGTGATTAGTCAACAGTTTGGTAACTTCCTGTCCCTTGAGGCCACAGGTGAGCACTTCCTCTCCTTCCGGGCCCACGGAGACGAGGCTGGATGCGTTCCTGCTTGGCTTCCTCAGCCAACCCGACCCTGAGCTCTGGGGTTTCTGTAAGAAGCTTCAACAAGGAGGTGGAGACCCTGTAACTTGCAGGGATGGCATCGCCCAGAGACTGGTGTGTAATTATGAGCTGCTGACCTCTGCTGGTTCAAGTCAAAAATACAGAGCACACCTGGACCAGGAGAAGAGAAGGGACAGAGACCACCTGGACCAGGAGAAGAGGAGGGACAGAGAACACCTGGACCAGGAGAAGAGGAGGGACAGAGAACACCTGGACCAGGAGAAGAGGAGGAGGGACAGAGAACACCTGGACCAGGAGAAGAGGAGGGACAGAGAACACCTGGACCAGGAGAAGAGGAGGAGGGACAGAGAACACCTGGACCAGGAGAAGAGGAGGGACAGAGAACACCTGGACCAGGAGAAGAGGAGGGACAGAGAACACCTGGACCAGGAGAAGAGGAGGGACAGAGAACACCTGGACCAGGAGAAGAGGAGGAGGGACAGAGAACACCTGGACCAGGAGAAGAGGAGGGACAGAGAACACCTGGACCAGGAGAAGAGGAGGAGGGACAGAGAACACCTGGACCAGGAGAAGAGGAGGGACAGAGAACACCTGGACCGGGAGAAGAGGAGGGACAGAGAACACCTGGACCAGGAGAAGAGGAGGAGGGACAGAGAACACCTGGACCAGGAGAAGAGGAGGGACAGAGAACACCTGGACCAGGAGAAGAGGAGGAGGTACAGAGAACACCTGGACCGGGAGAAGAGGAGGGACAGAGAACACCTGGACCAGGAGAAGAGGAGGAGGGACAGAGAACACCTGGACCAGGAGAAGAGGAGGGACAGAGAACACCTGGACCAGGAGAAGAGGAGGAGGGACAGAGAACACCTGGACCAGGAGAAGAGGAGGGACAGAGAACACCTGGACCAGGAGAAGAGGAGGAGGGACAGAGAACACCTGGACCAGGAGAAGAGGAGGGACAGAGAACACCTGGACCAGGAGAAGAGGAGGGACAGAGAACACCTGGACCAGGAGAAGAGGAGGAGGGACAGAGAACACCTGGACCAGGAGAAGAGGAGGGACAGAGAACACCTGGACCAGGAGAAGAGGAGGAGGGACAGAGAACACCTGGACCGGGAGAAGAGAAGGAGGGACAGAGAACACCTGGACCAGGAGAAGAGGAGGGACAGAGAACACCTGGACCAGGAGAAGAGGAGGGACAGAGAACACCTGGACCGGGAGAAGAGGAGGAGGGACAGAGAACACCTGGACCAGGAGAAGAGGAGGAGGGACAGAGAACACCTGGACCAGGAGAAGAGGAGGAGGGACAGAGAACACCTGGACCGGGAGAAGAGGAGGGACAGAGAACACCTGGACCAGGAGAAGAGGAGGGACAGAGAACACCTGGACCAGGAGAAGAGGGACAGAGAACACCTGGACCAGGAGAAGAGGAGGGACAGAGAACACCTGGACCAGGAGAAGAGGAGGAGGGACAGAGAACACCTGGACCAGGAGAAGAGGAGGGACAGAGAACACCTGGACCAGGAGAAGAGGAGGGACAGAGAACACCTGGACCGGGAGAAGAGGAGGGACAGAGAACACCTGGACCAGGAGAAGAGGAGGAGGGACAGAGAACACCTGGACCAGGAGAAGAGGAGGAGGGACAGAGAACACCTGGACCAGGAGAAGAGGAGGGACAGAGAACACCTGGACCAGGAGAAGAGGAGGGACAGAGAACACCTGGACCAGGAGAAGAGGAGGAGGGACAGAGAACACCTGGACCAGGAGAAGAGGAGGGACAGAGAACACCTGGACCAGGAGAAGAGGAGGGACAGAGAACACCTGGACCAGGAGAAGAGGAGGGACAGAGAACACCTGGACCAGGAGAAGAGGAGGGACAGAAGAGAACATCTGCAGATGACCACATAGATAAAAAAAAGAAAACTCTGCTGGAGGAATCTGACAGCCTGGAGAAGGATTACAACTCTGCTGGAGGTATCTGACAGCCTTGAGAAGGATGAAAACTCTGCTGGAGGTATCTGACAGCCTGGAGAAGGATTACAACTCTGCTGGAGGAATCTGACAGCCTGGAGAAGGATGAAAACTCTGCTGGAGGTATCTGACAGCCTGGAGAAGGATGAAAACTCTGCTGGAGGTATCTGACAGCCTGGAGAAGGATGAAAACTCTGCTGGAGGAATCTGACAGCCTGGAGAAGGATGAAAACTCTGCTGGAGGAATCTGACAGCCTGGAGAAGGATGAAAACTCTGCTGGAGGTATCTGACAGCCTGGAGAAGGATGAAAACTCTGCTGGAGGTATCTGACAGCCTGGAGAAGGATGAAAACTCTGCTGGAGGTATCTGACAGCCTGGAGAAGGATGAAAACTCTGCTGGAGGAATCTGACAGCCTGGAGAAGGATTACAACTCTGCTGGAGGTATCTGACAGCATGGAGAAGGATGCAGACAAATTTGCAGAGCAAGCAGAGGGAAAATCCTGCAACTTAATGGCTCAACACCCTCAGGAGGAGACATAAGGAGAAAATGTGTGAATTCAATAAGTTGAGGCAGAGTAAGAGACCTAAGACATGCCCTGATAAAAGAAAGAGAGAGAGAGAGAGAGAGAGAGAGAGAGAGAGAGAGAGAGAGAGAGAGAGAGAGAGAGAGAGAGAGAGAGAGAGAGAGAAGAGAGAGACAGAGACAGAGACAGAGACAGAGACAGAGACAGAGACAGAGACAGAGACAGAGACAGAGACAGAGAGAGAGAGAGCAGTCAGAGGGTAACACCACAGACCTCATCGAGGGAACCTAAAAACGCATGAGAGTAAGACTTACAAATACTTTTTGTAAGACTTTTAAACAGGTCAACATTCACAAGGCCACAGGGCCAGACGGATTACCAGGACGTGTACTCCGAGCATGCGCTGACCAACTGGCAAGTGTCTTCACTGACATTTTCAACATGTCCCTGACTGAGTCTGTAATACCAAGCAGACCATCATAGTCCCTGTGCCCAAGAACACTAGGGTAACCTGCCTAAATCACTACTGACCCATAGCACTCACGTCTGTAGCCATGAAGTGCTTTGAAAGGCTGGTCATGGCTCACATCAACACCATTATCCCAGAAACCCTAGACCCACTCCAATTTGCATACCGCCCCAACAGATCCACAGATGATGCAATCTCTATTGCACTCCACACTGCCCTTTCCCACCTGGACAAGAGGAACACCTATGTGAGAATGCTATTCATTGACTACAGCTCAGCGTTCAACACCATAGTGCCCTCAAAGCTCATCACTAAGCTAAGGATCCTGGGACTAAACACCTCCCTCTGCAACTGTATCCTGGACTTCCTGACGGGCCGCCCCCAGGTGGTGAGGGTAGGTAACAACACAGCTGCCACGCTGATCCTCAACACGGGGGCCCCTCAGGGATGCGTGCTCAGTCCCCTCCTGTACTCCCTGTTCACCCATGACTGCATGGCCAGGCACGACTCCAACACCATCATTAAGTTTGCCGACGACACAACAGTGGCAGGCCCGATCACTGACAACAATGAGACAGCCTATAGGGAGGAGGTCAGAGACCTGGCCGTGTGGTGCCAGGATAACAACCTCTCCCTCAACGTGACCAAGACAAAGGAGATGATTGTGGACTACAGGACAAAAAAGAGGACTGAGCACGCCTCCATTCTCATCGACGGGGCTGTAGTGGACCAGGTTGAGAGCTTCAAGTTCCTTGGTGTCCACATCACCAACAAACTATCATGGTCCAAACACACCAAGACAGTCGTGAAGAGGGCACGACAAAACCTATTCCCCCTCAGGAGACTGAAAATATTTGGCATGGGTCCTCAGATCCTCAAACAGTTCTACAGCTGCACCATCGAGAGCATCCTGACTGGTTGCATCACCGCCTGGTATGGCAACTGCTCGGCCTCCGACCGCAAGGCACTACAGAGGGTAGTGCGTACAGCCCAGTACATCACTTTTTATTTTATTTTATTTCACCTTTAGTTAACCAAGTAAGCCAGTTGAGAACAAGTTCTCATTTACAACTGCGACCTGGCCAAGATAAAGCAAAGCAGTGCGATAAAAACAACAACACAGAGTTACATATGGGGTAAAAAAACATAAAGTCAAAAAATACAGCAGAAAATATATATACAGTGTGTGCAAAGGTAGCAAGTTATGGAGGTAAGGCAATAAATAGGCTGTAGTGCAAAATAATTACAATTAGTATTAACACTGGAATGCTAGATGTGCAAGAGATTATGTGCAAATAGAGATACTGGGGTGCAAAAGAGCAGTTGGAGGCTACTGAAGGAGTGTTGTATGGCATTGAAGCTCGTTTAGAGGTTTGTTAACACAGTGTCCAATGAAGGGCCAGATGTATACAAAATGGTGTCGTCTGCGTAGAGGTGGATCTGAGAGTCACCAGCAGCAAGAGCGACATCATTGATATACACGGAGAAAAGAGTCGGCCCAAGAATTGAACCCTGTGGCACCCCCATAGAGACTGCCATAGGTCCAGACAACAGGCCCTCCGATTTGACACACTGAACTCTATCTGAGAAGTAGTTGGTGAACCAGGCGAGGCAGTCATTTGAGAAACCAAGGCTATTTAGTCTGCCAATAAGAATGCGGTGGTTGACAGAGTCGAAAGCCTTGGCCAGGTCGATGAAGACGGCTGCACAGTACTGTCTATTATCGATCGCGGTTATTATATCGTTTAGGACCTTGAGCGTGGCTGAAGTGCACCCATGACCAGCTCGGAAACCGGATTGCATAGCGGAGAAGGTACGGTGGGATTCGAAATGGTCGGTGATCTGTTTGTTAACTTGGCTTTCAAATACTTTCGAAAGGCAGGGCAGGATGGATATAGGTCTGTAACAGTTTGGATCTAGAGTGTCACCCCCTTTGAAGAGGGGAATGACCGCGGCAGCTTTCCAATCTCTGGGGATCTCAGACGTTACGAAAGAGAGGTTGAACAGACTAGTAATAGGGGTTGCGACAATTTCGGCAGCTAGTTTTAGAAAGAAAGGGTCCAGATTGTCTAGCCCAGCTGATTTGTAGGGGTCCAGATTTTGCAGCTCTTTCAGAACATCAGCTGTCTGAATTTGTGTGAAGAAGAAGCGGGGGGGGCATGGGCAAGTTGCAGCGGAGGGTGCAGAGTTGGTAGCCGGGGTAGTGGTAGCCAGGTGGAACGCATGGCCAGCCGTAGCAAAATGCTTGTTGAAATTCTCGATTATTGTAGATTTATCGGTGGTGATAGTGTTTCCTAGCCTCAGTGCAGTGGGCAGCTGGGAGGAAGTGCTCTTATTCTCCATGGACTTTACAGTGTCCCAAAACCTTTTGGAGTTAGTGCTACAGGATGCAAATTTCTGTTTGAAAAAGTTAGCCTTTGCTTTCCTGACTGCTTGTGTATATTGGTTCCTAACTTCCCTGAAAAGTTGCATATCGCGGGGGCTATTTGATGCTAATGCCGTACACCACAGGATGTTTTTGTGCTGGTCAAGGGCAGTCAAGTCTGAGGAGAACCAGGGGCTATATCTGTTCTTAGTTCTGTATTTTTTGAATGGGGCATGTTTATTTAAGATTGAGAGGAAATTACTTTTAAAGAACAACCAGGCATCCTCTACTGACGGAATGAGATCTATATCCATCCAGGATACCTGGGCCAGGTCAATTAGGAAGGCCTGCTCGCTAAAGTGTTTTAGGGAGCGTTTGACAGTGATGAGGGGTGGTCGTTTGACCGCGGACCCGTTATGGACGCAGGCAATAAGGCAGTGATCGCTGAGATCCTGGTTGAAGACAGCTGAGGTGTATTTAGAGGGTATGTTAGTCAGGATGATATCTATGAGGGTACCCATGTTTACGGATTTAGGGTTGTACCTGGTAGGTTCGTTGATAATTTGCGTGAGATTGAGGGCATCTAGTTTGGATTGTAGGATGGCCGGGGTATTAAGCATATCCCAATTTAGGTCACCAAGCAGTACGAACTCTGAGGATAAATGGGGGGCAATCAATTCACATATGGTGTCCAGGGCACAGCTGGGGGCTGAGGGGGTTCTGTAGCAAACAGCAACAGTGAGAGACTTATTTCTGGAAAGGTGGATTTTTAGAAGTAGAAGCTCAAACTGTTTGGGCACAGACCTGGATAGTATGATAGAGCTCTGCAGGCTATCTCTACAGTAGATTACAACTCCACCCCCTTTGGCAGTTCTATCTAGACGGAAAATGTTATAGTTGGGGATGGAAATTTCAGAATTTTTGGTGGCCTTCCTAAGCCAGGATTCAGACACTGCTAGAACATCAGGGTTGGCGGAGTGTGCTAACGCAGTGAATAACTCAAACTTAGGAAGTAGACTTCTGATATTTACATGCAGGAAACCAAGGCTTTTGCGATTACAGAAGTCAGCAAATGATAGCGCCTGGGGAGTAGGAGTGATACTGAGGGCTGCAGGGCCTGGGTTAGCCTCTACATCACCGGAGGAACAGAGGAGGACTAGAATAAGGATACGGCTAAAGGCTTTAAGAACTGGTCTTCTAGTGCATTGAGTACATAGAATAAAGGGGGCAGATTTCCGGGCGTTGTAGAAAAGATTCAGGGCATTATGTACAGACAAGGATATGGAAGGATATGAGTACAGTGGAGGTAAAACTAAGCGTTGGGTAACAATGAAAGAGATAGCATCACTGGAGGCACCAAATGAGTCGGTCTCCGCGTGTATGGGGGGTGGGACAAAGGAGCTATCTAAGGCAGGTTTAGCTGGGCTGGGGGATCTACAGTGAAATAGTACAATTAGAAATAACCGAAACAACAATAAGCTAACCATATTGAGATGGGAGAGAGGCATAAAGCAATCACAGGTGTAATTTGAGAGAGCTAAGACAACAGCTGGTAATGACGACACAGTTTGGGCTGAGGCTAAACATAAATAGGATGCGGTACCGTAAAAAGGAACAGTCCAGCAGACATCAGCTGTATAGCTGAGTTATCATAAGGTCCGGTGAACAGCAATAGGATAGTTCGGAGGTAGTTCGGGGGCTGCTATAGCACTAGCGAGCAAGAGGCCACGGCTAGCGTGTGCTAGCGGGCCGGGGCTAGCAGATGGAATCTTCGTGGTCGACGTCGTAACGGGAAGCCTGTTGTAACCACATCAGACGATTTCTTCAGCAGACCAGTCGTGTAGGATCGGCGGGGCTCCGTGTCAACACTAGGTGGTCCCGTCCGGTTGACAGAGAGGTAGATAGCCGGGAGATGGGCCTAGCTCAGGATGATTAGCCAGACCACAGCGTCCATTTTGTTGCAGCTAGCTGGTAGCGATGAATCCGGAGTTAAAGGTCCAGTGATTCAGTGATTCCGGCAGAAAAACCGATATGTTCTGGGTCGATAACGTGCTGTGCAGACGGTGCAGACTGGCCGATAATAGTCCAGGCTAGAGCTGGCTGGTAGGTAGTGCAGGCCTCGGACAATGATGAAAAACCGCTAACGGTAGCTGATAGCAAGTAGCTAGTTAACTGGCTACTCCCGTCCGGTAGACCTAGAGGTAGATATGAGCCTGGCTCTAGGCTAGCTCGAGGCTAACAGCGTCGTCCAGGGTAGGGGAGGGAATGGCCGGCAGGGATGTAGCTCAGTTGATAGAGCATGGCGTTTGCAACGCCAGGGTTGTGGGTTTGATTCCCACAGGGGGGGGTATGAAAAAAAAAAAAAAATGTATGCACTAACTGTAAGTCGCTCTGGATAAGAGCGTCTGCTAAATGACTAAAAATGTAAATGTAAATGTAACTGGTGCTTGCATCGGGGGCAGTGGTGAATAGCCAGACAGCAACATCCATTCGGTTGCGGCTAGCTAGTTGCGATCCGGTGATTAATGTCCAGTGATTAAATTAATCCCGCAGAAAAATCCAATGTTCTGGGTGAAATACCGCTAACTGTGGCTAATAGCAAGTAGCTAGTTAGCTGGCTAGCTAGTTTCAACTGGAGATTCTAGATAAAAGGTAAGTCAATAATAGAATCCGTTCCACATTGAGTGAGGCGGGTTGCAGGAAAGTATATTTTGTAGAAGGATGAAAAGTCTGATAGGGAAATATGTACGAAAAATAAAAAAAAAACAGGGTATTTACAGGCTATTTACAGACACACGATAAAAACAGAACTGCACTACTACGCCATCTTGGATTCAATTTTTTGGGGCCAGGCTTCCTGCCATCCAGGACCTCTATACCAGGCGGTGTCAGAGGAAGGCCCTCAAAATTGTCTCCAGCCACCCTAGTCATAGACTGTTCTCTCTGCTACCACACGGCAAGCGGTACCGGAGAGCCAAGTCTAGGTCCAAAAGGCTTCTCAACAGCTTCTACCCTCAAGCCATAAGACTCCTGAACAGCTAATCATGGCTACCCGGACTGTTTGATTTGATTTGAGAATAAACACTGGCAAAAAGCCTTTCCAATGTTCCCAGTGTGGAAACAGTTTTAGGTGGTTAGTGAGCCTGAAAGCGCATGAGAGAAACGCATGACTGTAAGTCGCTTTGGATAAAAGCGTCTGCTAAATGGCATATTACTATTACTAGAACACACACAGGAGAAAAGCCTTTCCAACATACTAATACACAGGAGGAGAAGACATACCACTGCTCTCATTGTGGAAAGACATTTTCCCAGTCAGAGGACCTGAAATCACATGAGAGAATAGAGAGGCTGTGTTCTGACTTATGTTTTTGACTGAGAATTTGTGTTTTTTGTTCACGCCATAAGGTTTCCATCCAATTGGTGACAGATTTTAATGCGAATATAAACAAATCTGCATCTAAAAACTATAAATGCATTTTTCCCACCAGAGGTGTGTTTCCACCAAACCGACTTGTTTTCTGAGAAAAGGTTCTGCGTGATGACGTAGTGCACATAAAAATAACTTTTGCGGTTCTACAAGTTAAATGGGTTTCCAATCGCATTTTCAACTCTGGGTTTTGTCACAAAAAACTGTTGCGTTAAAATAGCAAATGTGCCCACTCTGGTCTTGGCACGTGCGCTCTAGCCAAAGCTCACAGAAACAGTGCGGGTGGGTAGGCTGTACGGGGAAGATAGTTTACATTGAGATTATTGTGGATAATAACTAGATTATTTTTATTTGTCAAACGGCAGCCAAGCATAGATCATCACGTCACCAGAACAAGACCGTCCATATTTATTGGAAAGGAGCATCAAGCTCATCACCGTGGCACTTTCACCACCCTGTGAAGTTCATCATAACTTATTTCATCTGTAGCCTAAATAAACTGAATGGTTTCCTGAGTGTTGGTGGGAGGACCACACGACACGTCATCGCTTGACTCCCAAGTCTACTTCCATATGATGGTTATTATAGCAATATTGGCACATAAAAGCGTTTCCGCTGCCATTTCTCGAATAATTAATTTTACTGACAGAAAAGATTCCCACCTTGTCGAATGAACAAATTGTCTGTTGGCATTTATGAAATTGTACCGACATTTCCTGTTTCCATCAGCCCTGTTGGGTAATTCAGCCGCATGAAATGGTTGGATTGAAACCCGATTACTGAAAGCCATGAAATGGTTGGATGCAAACCTGATTACTGAAAGCCATGAAATGGTTGGGTGGAAACCTGATTACTGAAAGCCATGAAATGGTTGGGTGGAAACCTGATTACTGAAAGCCATGAAATGGTTGGATTGAAACCTGATTACTGAAAGCCATGAAATGGTTGGGTGGAAACCTGATTACTGAAAGCCATGAAATGGTTGGGTGGAAACCTGATTACTGAAAGCCATGAAATGGTTGGGTGGAAACCTGATTACTGAAAGCTCAAAAAGCCCTACATTTGTTTAGTTTTTTTGTTTTTCATCTCATGTTACAAAATGAATTTGATTGGATATACAGTATGATTTGGATATTGAAAAATGTAAATCATTAAATAGATTAATATTGTGTGCATTTCTTGATTCTAACCTTGAAACCTCTTGAATTTACTTGTTGTGTTTCATTTAGTTAATTTGTGTACTAGTCCTCAAGCTAAAGGAATATGAAAATGTGGTGATGTTGTTTACAATAAAAACATTCACTACCTCATGAATCTTACCATCAGTATTATTCCAACATGTTATAGAAAACACAGGTGCTGAATGTAAAAAGGATTTTATTAATGCAACGTTTATTATATACAGTGGGGTCCGAAAGTATTGACACCCTTGATAAAGATGAGCAAAAATGACTATACAATTTGTTCTCCCATGTCACCCCGCTCCTCCGCACACTCGAAGCTCGCTCCCATTACAAGACCATGGTGTTTGCCTACGGGGCAGCAAGGGGAACTGACCCTCCCTACATTTAGGCTCAAACCCTACGCCCCAACCCGAGCAGTTTATATTTTGGGTACGATAGTTGAACTAAGCTCATGATACATTTATAAGTTATATTCTTCAAGAATCAATGGGTACATATAATTAATTTATGAATGGAAAAAAACTGATGTAGCAACTGCAGATCTCCCCTTTATTGAAATCAATATAAAATACACGTTTTTGTCTGGAAATAAAATGATATTTTCTCAACTGCGTTACCGATTCTAGTCAGCAGATGGCGATGTGCGTCTTTTAGGTGAAGCTGCCAGCGTGTGACGTATAATCTAGTGGACGGGACACTTCTTCAACAATAACAGCTGGTCCGCCACCTCCGTAGCTAGAGAGCCAATATAGCTGAAAGATTCAAGCTATTTAGACTGTTTCGGTGTATATTAGTCACTGTGTTTTAAACCCGCTTCTTTCGTATCTAATAGTTGCCCCATTTCATTTAATATTTACGTTGTTGTTGGTAGTCAGCTACGTTAGCTGGCTCGTTAACTTAGCACTAGCCTACCCGCTAATTATAGGTAGCTAGCTAACATCCCCGACCATGAGCTCATTAAACTACTCACCCCCTGTTAAAGAAGAGGAGGTCTGCTGGACGGAGAAAGAAGCTCTGGGGCTGAACGTTGTCGTGAAAGAGGAGGAGGAAGAGGAGGATGTCACAGTAAAAATAGAAGATGAGAGTGAGGAGGAGGGAGAGATAACTGTCATATTGAAAGAGGAGGAGCAGGAGACAGGTCAGATAAACACCATCACGTACTAATCTTAATAACGGGCACAAACTCTGCAGTTGTTGAACTGATGTGTGGTTTTAAAACGGCATTATGCACTTAATACATCCATTTATATATACCAATTCCATGTATTCTTGAACAAAGTAACTTATGAATGCCTTATGAGCTAAATTCAACTTGTCGCAACCCCCATCGAATCCAAAATAGAAGCTTGTTTTACTCCAACGTTTGTAAACAAACACTGTATATCCTCAAAACATAGGAACACTATAATGTTGATATCATGGATGGTCGCTCCTTGCATCTATAGTTCTGTCTATGAATTTGAGTGGTTACGTTTCTCCAGCCCCGTCCCTCAGCTTATTACCCAAACAGTTGTGGGTTGACCACTTTGGGAAACATTGTTTGTGATTCAAATGTAAAAAAATAAAATAAAATAAAAAGTCAAACATGGCTGTCCTTTCGTGGAATCGCCCCATGACTAAGAAAAATCATGAATGATGAGTGAGAAAGTTGGGGGTATATGATCTTTGTGCCTCTGTAGCTTTCTCACTCATCATTAATTGTGAATGCATTCATGATTATATCCATAGTCATCATGGTAGTGTTCAGGAACATTTACTATTCTTACAATAACAATGACTCCACAAGACATTATTCAACATTCAGTTCCTATTGGGCAAAACATCATCTGAAAACACAAGCAAAACAAACTGCAAGTGCATGCAACAAGTTTGTAGTCACAAGCAAACTTTTGACTACTTTATTTCACTATAAGTGAATTTTTCAAAAATACTTATTACATTTAGCAGACGCTCTTATCCAGAGCGACTTACAGATTGGTGCATTCACCTTATAGCCAGTGGGATAACCACTTTACAATATGTTTTATAAAAAATGTTTTTTTGGGGTGGGGGGGGGGTTGAAGGATTACTTTATCCTATACTTGTGACTTCTTCAAATGGGGAGGACAAGATACATAAAGGGCTATCATCGTTTACACGTTAGTCCCGTGTAGCTCAGTTGGTAGAGCATGGCGTTTGCAACGCCAGGGTTGTGGGTTCATTTCCCACGGGAGACGAGTATGAAGAAAAAAATAGTAATTATGCACTCACTAACTGTAAGTCGCTCTGGATAAGAGCGTCTGCTAAATGACCCAAAAAAATTAATAATGTTGTTTTTCAATGTTGGAGTTTGCTCTCACTCTCTGCTGCTAGTAAAGACATCAGATTCTCATCCTCGTCTCTCCATAACAGACGCGTTATTTGATTTCCCACTCGTAATTCTGGGCAAGACACGCCCCCGCTGAAGCTGAAGTGCTGCGATTGGCTGCTGGTCGTTAGGGCTGGAGCAAGGGTCTTGAGAGCGTTGTTGACTGCCTTGCCGCCAAACTGCACCGAAGTTATCTCGAGCGCTTTGCCTCACTGTGCCAACCCTGGGAATAATATCTCAGAGTGCCCAGCATTGAGGGTTTGTCAGTTTTTATTGAGGTAAAGCTAATCTGATGTTATGCCTGGAGAGAGAGAGGGGGAGGACAGTATGATAGGAGGACAGTATGAGAGGAAGACAGTATGAGAGGAGGACAGTATGAGAGGAGGACAGTATGAGAGGTGGACAGTATGAGAGGAGGACAGTATGAGAGGTGGACAGTATGAGAGGAAAGTATGAGAGGACAGTATGAGAGGTGGACAGTATGAGAGGAGGACAGTATGAGAGGAGGACAGTATGAGATGACAGTATGAGAGGTGGACATTATGAGAGGTGGACAGTATGAGAGGAGGACAGTATGAGAGGTGGACAGTATGAGAGGAGGACAGTATGAGAGGAGGACAGTATGAGAGGAGGACAGTATGAGAGGTGGACAGTATGAGAGGTGGACAGTATGAGAGGAGGACAGTATGAGAGGTGGACAGTATGAGAGGAGGACAGTATGAGAGGACAGTATGAGAGGTGGACAGTATGAGATGACAGTATGAGAGGACATTATGAGAGGTGGACAGTATGAGAGGCGGACAGTATGAGAGGTGGACAGTATGAGAGGACATTATGAGAGGTGGACAGTGTGAGAGGAGGACAGTATGGGAGGAGGACAGTATGAGAGGTGGACAGTATGAGATGACAGTATGAGAGGTGGACAGTATGAGAGGAGGACAGTATGAGAGGACAGTATGAGAGGACATTATGAGAGGAGGACAGTATGAGATGACAGGATGAGATGACAGTATGAGAGGTGGACAGTATGAGAGGAGGACAGTATGAGAGGTGGACAGTATGAGAGGTGGACAGTATGAGAGGACAGTATGAGAGGTGGACAGTATGAGAGGAGGACAGTATGAGAGGACAGTATGAGAGGAGGACAGTATGAGAGGTGGACAGTATGAGATGACAGTATGAGAGGACAGTATGAGAGGTGGACAGTATGAGAGGACAGTATGAGAGGACATTATGAGAGGAGGACAGTATGAGAGGTGGACAGTATGAGAGGTGGACAGTATGAGAGGAGGACAGTATGAGAGGTGGACAGTATGAGAGGTGGACAGTATGAAAGGAGGACAGTATGAGAGGAGGACAGTATGAGAGGAGGACAGTATGAGAGGTGGACAGTATGAGATGACAATATGAGAGGTGGACATTATGAGAGGAGGACAGTATGAGAGGAGGACAGTATGAGAGGACAGTATGAGAGGAGGACAGCATGAGAGGAGGACAGTATGAGAGGTGGACAGTATGAGAGGAGGACAGTATGAGAGGATAGTATGAGAGGTGGGCAGTATGAGAGGAGGACAGTATGAGAGGAGGACAGTATGAGAGGTGGACAGTATGAGAGGACAGTATGAGAGGAGGACAGTATGAGAGGAGGACAGTATGAGAGGACAGTATGAGAGGAGGACAGTATGAGAGGTGGGCAGTATGAGAGGAGGACAGTATGAGAGGAGGACAGTATGAGAGGTGGACAGTATGAGAGGACAGTATGAGAGGAGGACAGTATGAGAGGTGGACAGTATGAGAGGAGGACAGTATGAGAGGTGGACAGTATGAGAGGTGGACAGTATGAGAGGTGGACAGTATGAGAGGTGGACAGTATGAGAAGTGGACAGTATGAGAGGTGGACAGTATGAGAGGAGGACAGTATGAGAGGTGGACAGTATGAGAGGAGGACAGTATGAGAGGTGGACAGTATGAGAGGAGGACAGTATGAGAGGTGGACAGTATGAGAGGTGGACAGTATGAGAGGACAGTATGAGAGGTGGACAGTACTACTGCAACTCTACTACTGCAACTCGCTGTTGGCTGGCCTCCCTGCCTGTGCCATTAAACCCCTACAACTCATCCAGAATGCCGCAGCCCGTCTGGTGTTCAACCTTCCCAAGTTCTCTCACGTCACCCCCCTCCTCCGCACACTCCACTGGCTTCCAGTTGAAGCTCGCATCCGCTACAAGACCATGGTGCTTGCCTATGGAGCAGTGAGGGGAACGGCACCTCTGTACCTTCAGGCTCTGATCAGTCCCTACACCCAAACGAGGGCATTGCGCTCATCCACCTCTGGCCTGCTGGCTCCCCTTCCTCTGCGGAAGCATAGTTCCCGCTCAGCCCAGTCAAAACTGTTCGCTGCTCTGGCACCCCAATGGTGGAACAAGCTCCCTCACGACGCCAGGACAGCGGAGTCACTCACCACCTTCCGGAGACATTTGAAACCCCACCTCTTTAAGGAATACCTGGGATAGGATAAAGGAATCCTTCTACCCCCCCCCCCCCCCCAAATTGTAAAGTGGTTATCCCACTGGCTATAGGGTGAACGCACCAATTTGTGAGTCGCTCTGGCTAAGAGCGTCTGCTAAATGACGTTAATGTGCCCTTGAGCAAGGCACTTAACCCTAATTGCTCCTGTAAGTCGCTCTGGATAAGAGCGTCTGCTAAATGACTAAAATGTAAATGTAAATGTAATTATGAGAGGTGGACAGTATGAGAGGTGGACAGTATGAGAGGACATTATGAGAGGTGGACAGTATGAGAGGAGGACAGTATGAGAGGAGGACAGTATGAGAGGTGGACAGTATGAGAGGTGGACAGTATGAGAGGTGGACAGTATGAGAGGTGGACAGTATGAGAGGAGGACAGTATGAGAGGTGGACAGTATGATATGACAGTATGAGAGGACATTATGAGAGGTGGACAGTATGAGAGGACAGTATGAGAGGACATTATGAGAGGAGGACAGTATGAGAGGAGGACAGTATGAGAGGTGGACAGTATGAGAGGAGGACAGTATGAGAGGAGGACAGTATGAGAGGAGGACAGTATGAGAGGTGGACAGTATGAGAGGTGGACAGTATGAGATGACAGTATGAGAGGTGGACAGTATGAGAGGAGGACAGTATGAGAGGACATTATGAGAGGTGGACAGTATGAGAGGAGGACAGTATGAGAGGACATTATGAGAGGTGGACAGTATGAGAGGTGGACAGTATGAGAGGAGGACAGTATGAGATGACAGTATGAGAGGTGGACAGTATGAGAGGAGGACAGTATGAGAGGACATTATGAGAGGTGGACAGTATGAGAGGTGGACAGTATGAGAGGAGGACAGTATGAGAGGTGGACAGTATGATATGACAGTATGAGAGGACATTATGAGAGGTGGACAGTATGAGAGGAGGACAGTATGAGAGGACAGTATGAGAGGTGGACAGTATGAGAGGAGGACAGTATGAGAGGACATTATGAGAGGTGGACAGTATGAGAGGACAGTATGAGAGGACAGTATGAGAGGTGGACAGTATGAGAGGTGGACAGTATGATATGACAGTATGAGAGGACATTATGAGAGGTGGACAGTATGAGAGGACAGTATGAGAGGACAGTATGAGAGGAGGACAGTATGAGAGGATGACAGTATGAGAGGTGGACAGTATGAGAGGAGGACAGTATGAGAGGAGGACAGTATGAGAGGAGGATAGTATGAGAGGTGGACAGTATGAGAGGTGGACAGTATGAGAGGACAGTATGAGAGGTGGACAGTATGAGAGGTGGACAGTATGAGAGGAGGACAGTATGAGAGGAGGACAGTATGAGAGGTGGACAGTATGAGATGACAGTATGAGAGGTGGACAGTATGAGATGACAGTATGAGAGGTGGACAGTATGAGATGACAGTATGAGAGGTGGACAGTATGAGATGACAGTATGAGAGGAGGACAGTATGAGAGGAGGACAGTATGAGAGGTGGACAGTATGAGAGGAGGACAGTATGAGAGGAGGACAGTATGAGAGGTGGACAGTATGAGATGACAGAATGAGAGTTGGACATTATGAGAGGTGGACAGTATGAGAGGACATTATGAGAGGTGGACAGTATGAGATGACAGTATGAGTGGTGGACATTATGAGAGGTGGACATTATGAGAGGTGGACAGTATGACAGGTGGACAGTATGAGATGACAGTATGAGAGGAGGACAGTATGAGATGACAGTATGAGAGGTGGACTGTATGAGAGGTGGACAGTATGAGAGGTGGACAGTATGAGAGGACATTATGATAGGTGGACAGTATGAGATGACAGTATGAGATGACAGTATCAGAGGTGGACAGTATGAGAGGACATTATGATAGGTGGACAGTATGAGATGACAGTATGAGATGACAGTATCAGAGGTGGACAGTATGAGAGGACATTATGAGAGGTGGACAGTATGAGAGGTGGACAGTATGAGATGACAGTATGAGAGGAGGACAGTATGAGATGACAGGATGAGATGACAGTATGAGAGGACATTATGAGAGGTGGACAGTATGAGAGGTGGACAGTATGAGATGAAAGTATGAGAGGAGGACAGTATGAGATGACAGGATGAGATGACAGTATGAGAGGACATTATGAGAGGTGGACAGTATGAGAGGTGGACAGTATGAGATGACAGTATGAGAGGAGGACAGTATGAGATGACAGGATGAGATGACAGTAGTAGAGGTGGACAGTATGAGAGGAGGACAGTATGAGAGGTGGACAGTATGAGAGGAGGATAGTATGAGAGGAGGACTGTATGAGAGGAGGACAGTATGAGAGGTGGACAGTATGAGATGACATTATGAGAGGTGGACAGTATGAGATGACAGTATGAGATGACAGTATGAGAGGTGGACAGTATGACAGGTGTTACACCATACATGGGCGTGGATACGCCGTAGAGGCAATATCCATTTTAAACTAGTCAATTTTCTTAATCATGATTGGCTGATCCCCCCCCCCCCTCCAACAGGGTCACCAGGAGGGATCAGCCAATGAAGGTGGAAGGACCACCCAGTTGACTACATTAAAATGGTGGAAGGACCACCCAGTTGACTACATTAAAATGGTGGAAGGACCACCCAGTTGACTACATTAAAATGGTGGAAGGACCACCCAGTTGACTACATTAAAATGGTGGAAGGACCACCCAGTTGACTACATTAAAATGGTGGAAGGACCACCCAGTTGACTACATTAAAATGGGGGAAGGACCACCCAGTTGACTACATTAAAATGGGGGAAGGACCACCCAGTTGACTACATTAAAATGGGGGAAGGACCACCCAGTTGACTACATTAAAATGGGGGAAGGACCACCCAGTTGACTACATTAAAATGGGGGAAGGACCACCCAGTTGACTACATTAAAATGGGGGAAGGACCACCCAGTTGACTACATTAAAATGGTGGAAGGACCACCCAGTTGACTACATTAAAATGGTGGAAGGACCACCCAGTTGACTACATTACAATGGTGGAAGGACCACCCAGTTGACTACATTACAATGGTGGAAGGACCACCCAGTTGACTACATTACAATGGTGGAAGGACCACCCAGTTGACTACATTAAAATGGTGGAAGGACCACCCAGTTGACTACATTACAATGGTGGAAGGACCACCCAGTTGACTACATTACAATGGTGGAAGGACCACCCAGTTGACTACATTACAATGGTGGAAGGACCACCCAGTTGACTACATTACAATGGTGGAAGGACCACCCAGTTGACTACATTAAAATGGTGGAAGGACCACCCAGTTGACTACATTAAAATGGTGGAAGGACCACCCAGTTGACTACATTAAAATGGTGGAAGGACCACCCAGTTGACTACATTAAAATGGTGGAAGGACCACCCAGTTGACTACATTAAAATGGTGGAAGGACCACCCAGTTGACTACATTAAAATGGTGGAAGGACCACCCAGTTGACTACATTAAAATGGTGGAAGGACCACCCAGTTGACTACATTAAAATGGTGGAAGGACCACCCAGTTGACTACATTAAAATGGTGGAAGGACCACCCAGTTGACTACATTAAAATGGTGGAAGGACCACCCAGTTGACTACATTAAAATGGTGGAAGGACCACCCAGTTGACTACATTAAAATGGTGGAAGGACCACCCAGTTGACTACATTAAAATGGTGGAAGGACCACCCAGTTGACTACATTACAATGGTGGAAGGACCACCCAGTTGACTACATTACAATGGTGGAAGGACCACCCAGTTGACTACATTACAATGGTGGAAGGACCACCCAGTTGACTACATTACAATGGTGGAAGGACCACCCAGTTGACTACATTAAAATGGTGGAAGGACCACCCAGTTGACTACATTAAAATGGTGGAAGGACCACCCAGTTGACTACATTAAAATGGTGGAAGGACCACCCAGTTGACTACATTAAAATGGTGGAAGGACCACCCAGTTGACTACATTAAAATGGTGGAAGGACCACCCAGTTGACTACATTAAAATGGTGGAAGGACCACCCAGTTGACTACATTAAAATGGTGGAAGGACCACCCAGTTGACTACATTAAAATGGTGGAAGGACCACCCAGTTGACTACATTAAAATGGTGGAAGGACCACCCAGTTGACTACATTAAAATGGTGGAAGGACCAACCCAGTTGACTACATTAAAATGGTGGAAGGACCACCCAGTTGACTACATTAAAATGGTGGAAGGACCACCCTGTTGACTACATTAAAATGGTGGAAGGACCACCCAGTTGACTACATTAAAATGGTGGAAGCGCTCAACGGCGCTGCCCGTGGTAATACGGCCTTTTGGCCACTAGAGGCCTCTGTCGTTCTCTATGGCATTAAGGCACCTAGCAAGCAAATATCAGTCTGCATGGTGCCTGCTTGGCCCTCTCTTCGGCTAGCCAATCAGGAGGATTGTCGAGACTAGCGGCGATTTAACCAATCGCAGCACTTCAGCTTCAGTGGGCGTGTCTTGCACAGAAGACAAGCGAGAAATCAAAAACCACACATCACAAGATGCGGAGTGCTCCATTACCACGGTAACGGCCCGCCCCTTAAAGGGGCAGCTGACCATTTTCGGTTTCACCTAATGAGCTCATATTTGATTGAACACGGAACGCTCCAAAAACCTGATAAAACACTCAAATACTTTAATTGTGCTCCTAAATATATTTGTGTGCTCCTAAATATATTTGTGTGCTCCTAAATATATTTGTGTGCTCCTAAATATATTTGTGTGCTCCTAACTATAAAGCACATGTACTCCTTGTAAAACGTCAGCGTAGAGCTCTGAACTATAATAATACATCAGCTGTGTCACTCAGCATTTTATCTGGCAGGACAGGCACTTTGTTGATTATTGATGTTCACTTGTACAACTGTATATCACTACTATTGTATCTAAATAAAACATTTTAACACATTGGTTAAAAGACTCGGGTCACAAAAATTAAAGTACATTAAGCAATATCCCACATTAGTTCTTACTACCAATACATTTCTTGTTTTAGAAACATTACAAAAGCATGCTAATATTTTTGAGTGATTTTTGGTGTAACCATGGGAACAATTATATTTTTTTATCTGCCTGCTACAGTGGTTGGTGGACCAAAAACTAACCCAAAAAATACTTAGAAGACAATTGTCAAAGTTTGTAAAAACATTAAAAAGATTCACTACATTGACTGTGTGACTTTGTCGTTCACACAGGAGAGAGATGTGACTATGGTGGATCCTCTGGGGAGCCTCAACAACATGATGCTGACGAGGCAGAGAAGAGTCTCTCCACATCAGAACACCTCAAGAAACACCATCGGAGACCCACAGGAAAGAAACCTCACTGCTGCTCTGACTGTGGGAAGAGTTACTCAAGATCAGATTCCCTAAAACTACACCAGAGAATTCACACAGGAGAGAAATCTTACAACTGTGATCAATGTGGGAAGAGATGCACTTCTTCATCAGAACTTACAATACACCAGAGAATTCACACAGGAGAGAAACCTTACAGCTGCTCTCAGTGTGGAATGAGTTTCTCTCGATCATATTCATTGAAATCACACCTGAGAATTCACACAGGAGAGAAACCATATGGCTGTGATCAATGTGGGAAGAGTTTTGCTACCTCAGCTAACCTGAGTGCGCACAAGAGAATACACACGGGAGAGAAACCTTACCACTGCTCCGACTGTGGAATGAGCTTTGCCACCTCAAGGGAATTACTACTACACCAGAGAACACACACAGGAGAGCAGCCTTATAGCTGTGATCAGTGCGGGAAGAGATTTACTCAGTCAAACAACCTGATATCACACCAGAGAACACACACAGGACAGAAGCCCTATAGCTGTGATCGGTGTGGGAAGAGTTTTACTCAGTCAAGTCACCTGAAATCACACCAGAGAACACACACCGGAGAGAAGCCTTATAGCTGTGATCAGTGTGGGAAAAGATACTCTGATTTAAGGGATCTGAATAAACATCAGAAAATACATGCAGGAGATCCAGAGTGTGGAATGACCTCCAATACCAGACCTGGGTAGTAGAACACAGAGTGTGGAATGATCTCCAACACCAGACCTGGGTAGTAGAACACAGAGTGTGGAATGATCTTCAACACCAGACCTGGGTAGTAGAACACAGAGTGTGGAATGACCTCCAACACCAGACCTGGGTAGTAGAACACAGAGTGTGGAATGATCTCCAACACCAGACCTGGGTAGTAGAACACAGAGTGTGGAATGATCTCCAACACCAGACCTGGGTAGTAGAACACAGAGTGTGAAATGATCTCCAACACCAGACCTGGGTAGTAGAACACAGAGTGTGGAATGATCTCCAACACCAGACCTGGGTAGTAGAACAATCATCATTGCATAAGGTTTTTATATAGCCCATGTGCAGAGCGTTATATGTCAGACATTTAGAAAATGGGAAAGGTGTTTTGGGGACAAAACAGTTTGTTTGTGTTGGAGGGTTGTTTAGAGGGGTTGTCATGGGTGGTATGTGGAGTTGAGTTTAGTATAGTTTTTCGAAATCACATGGAATTAATTTCAGAATCCTCTCAAATTAGACTCCCTAGCGTCTTTCGGTCACTTCAGGGCATTGGTAAGATACCTGGTCACAGAGGAATGTAGATTGTGTTTCTCAGAACTTCTGATGACAAATATGACTGTTGATGAGTTGGTGAATTCTGATATTCTGGTTGATTGTGGCTGGTTTCCTGTCAGTTCATTTAACCTAGTTTATCACCCCCCTTCAGTTCATTTAACCTAGTTTATCACCCCCCCTTCAGTTCATTTAACCTAGTTTATCACCCCCCTTCAGTTAATTTAACCTAGTTTATCACCCCCCCTTCAGTTCATTTAACCTAGTTTATCACCCCCCTTCAGTTAATTTAACCTAGTTTATCACCCCCCTTCAGTTCATTTAACCTAGTTTACATCAATAGGGAGAAGTCAACATACAAGTGTAAGTAAAAATCGATGTAAATAAGTTAGAAATTGTGCTACTAATGCACATGACGGCACAAACAGGTGGCGCAGTGGTCTAAGGCACTGCATCGCAGTGCTAGCTGTGCCACTAGAGATCCTGGTTCGAATCCAGGCTCTGTCGTATCCGGCCGCGACCGGGTGACCCATGGGGCGGCGCACAATTGGCCCAGCGTCGTCCAGGGTAGGGGAGGGAATGGCCGGCAGGGATGTAGCTCAGTTGGTAGAGCATGGCGTTTGCAACGCCAGGGTGGTGGGTTCGTTTCCCACGGGGGGCCAGTATGAAAAAATGAATAAATAAAATAATGTATGCACTCACTAACTGTAAGTCGCGAAATGGTGCTACTAATGCACATGATGGCACAAACAGGTATCGTAAAAGTAATGATATGTTTTTGTTTGGTTAGCTTTTTGAAACGTTAGCTAGCGCATACAACTTTCCCTGACGTCACACTTATACATTGTAATTTTTCGATTGACCCGATATCGTCGGATGGCTAGTATTCGATGTCTGCGGATGCGTTGTCTTCTAACCAAGATACTAAATGCGATCGTAAATGGACTGTAGCTCATATAAAACCACAGGACAGCTACAGGTGGGTCCATGATGACTGAAAACACAACCGTGGGACGAACGAGTGACAAATTTCCCGGGCAAGGTCGGTCCATTTAAAATTAATTCATTCTTCCTTCTCCCCTTGCTAGTGTCAACTCATGATACGTCATGATACATCATTAGAAGTGTGCACTTAATTTGAGGGGCTGAGGGGAGACGTTGTGTCTTTTAAGTGTTTTGGAATGCCGCCTATGTTCACGTCCTGATGGACAGCGCCTTCGGAAAGTATTCAGACCCTGTGACTTTTAACACATTTTGTTACGTTATAGCCTTATTCTACACACAATACCCCATAATGACAAAGCAAAAAAACAGGTTTTTAGAAAATGTATTACAAATAAAAGAAATGAAATATCACATTTACATAAGTATTCAGACCCTTTACTCAGTACTTTGTTGAAGCACCTTTGGCAGCGATTACAGCATCGAGTCTTCTTGGGTATGACGCTACAAGCTTGGCACACCTGTATTTGGGGAGTTTCTCCCATTCTTCTCTGCAGATCCTCTCAAGCTCTGTCAGGTTGGATGTGGAGCGTCGCTGCACAGCTATTTTCAGGTCTCTCCAAAGATGTTTGATCGGGTTCAACTCCGGGCTCTGGCTGGGCCACTCAAGGACATTCAGAGACTTGTCCCGAAGCCACTCCTGCGTTGTCTTGGCTGTGTGCTTAGGGTCGTTGTCCTGTTGGAAGGTGAAACTTTGCCCCAGTCTGAGGACCTGAGCACTCCGTTCATCTTTCCCTGTTCCTGCCGCTGAAAAACATCCCCACAGCATGATGCTGCCACCACCGTGCTTCACCGTAGGGATGGTGCCAGGTTTCCTCCAGACGTGACGCTTGGCATTCAGGCCAAAGAGTTCAATCTTGGAGTCATCAGACCAGAGAATCTTGTTTCTCATGGTCTGAGAGTCTTTAGTGGAGCTCTGTCAGAGTGACCATCGGGTTCTTGGTCACCTCCCTGTCCAGGCCCTTCTCCCCCGATTGCTCAGTTTGGCCGGGCGGCCAGCTCTAGGAAGAGTCTTGGTGGTTCCAAACTTCTTCCATTTAAGAATGATGGAGGCCACTGTGTTCTTGGGGACCTTCAATGCTGCCGAAATGTTTTGGTACCCTTCCCGAGATCTGTGCCTCGGCACAATCCTGTCTCGGAGCTCTACGGACAGTTCCTTCGACCTCATGGCTTGGTTTTTGCTCTGACATGAACTGTCAACTGTGGGACCTTTATATAGACAGATGTGTGCCTTTCCAAATCATGTCCAATCAATTGAATCAATTGTTTTTGCTTTATCATTATAGCGTATTGTGCGTAGATTGCTGACGATTATAATTTTTTAAAAATCCATTTTGGAATAAGGCTGTAACGTAACAAAAATGTGGAAAAAGTCAAGGGGTCTGAATACTTTCCGAAGGCAACTGTATCTACTGTATATGTGTACGGTACCGGTTAGATATTGGGGATGTTTTTCTGTATGTTATTGCTGTGAGAGAGAGTTAGCTAGCATGTTCTAATTGGAATGGTGGCATTAGCTCCCTGCTAATTCAGTTATTTCCATGCTAATAGACGAATCTACAGCCATCAACATACTGTTTTCCTGCACATCTAATGTGCTTCTGTCACGAGATGGATTGGTAGATACGTGGGTGGCCGGGCTGGTGTGATCAGACGCACCTGCAGCCAGTTAGCTAATCAGACAGGCAGCTGGGGATTGGCTGTCGTTTTTAATTTCCTTTAAAAGCCCCTTGTTTTGTGTTGTTCGGGTGCTGGCAATTGAGCGGAGAACTGTCGTTCACCTCCCAGCACCCGAACAACACAAAACATGGGTATTTTTAAAGGAAACGACTGCCAATCCCCAGCTGCCTGTCTGATTAGCTAACTCGCTGCAGGTGCGTCTGATCACACCAGCCCACCCACTAATCTACCCACAATCCTTCTCGTGACACTTCGTTAACTGTGTCTATGGTCAGGTACTTACATGTATTGTATTTTGTACCATTTTCTTGTCATGGTTATGATGTTTGATTACAAAATACCCCCATCTGACATGCAAGCAACACATCACGAATCTACAGCCCATCAACATAGTGAATCTACAGCCCATCAACATAGTGAATCTACAGCCCATCAACATAGTGAATCTACAGCCCATCAACATAGTGAATCTACAGCCCATCAACATAGTGAATCTACAGCCCATCAACATAGTGAATCTACAGCCCATAGTGAATCTACAGCCCATCAACATAGTGAATCTACAGCCCATCAACATAGTGAATCTACAGCCCATAGTGAATCTACAGCCCATCAACATAGTGAATCTACAGCCCATCAACATAGTGAATCTACAGCCCATCAACATAGTGAATCTACAGCCCATCGACATAGTGAATCTACAGCCCATCGACATAGTGAATCTACAGCCCATCAACATAGTGAATCTACAGCCCATCAACATAGTGAATCTACAGCCCATCAATATAGTGAATCTACAGCCCATCAACATAGTGAATCTACAGCCCATCAACATAGTGAATCTACAGCCCATAGTGAATCTACAGCCCATCACCATAGTGAATCTACAGCCCATCAACATAGTGAATCTACAGCCCATCAACATAGTGAATCTACAGCCCATCACCATAGTGAATCTACAGCCCATCAACATAGTGAATCTACAGACCATCACCATAGTGAATCTACAGCCCATCAACATAGTGAATCCCATCACCATAGTGAATCTACAGCCCATCACCATAGTGAATCTACAGCCCATAGTGAATCTACAGCCCATCGACATAGTGAATCTACAGCCCATCAACATAGTGAATCTACAGCCCATCACCATAGTGAATCTACAGCCCATCAACATAGTGAATCCCATCACCATAGTGAATCTACAGCCCATCACCATAGTGAATCTACAGCCCATAGTGAATCTACAGCCCATCGACATAGTGAATCTACAGCCCATCAACATAGTGAATCTACAGCCCATCGACATAGTGAATCTACAGCCCATCAACATAGTGAATCTACAGCCCATCAACATAGTGAATCTACAGCCCATCGACATAGTGAATCTACAGCCCATCAACATAGTGAATCTACAGCCCATCAACATAGCGAATCTACAGCCCATCAACATAGTGAATCTACAGCCCATCGACATAGTGAATCTACAGCCCATCGACATAGTGAACTACAAGCCCATCAACATAGTGAATCTACAGCCCATCAACATAGTGAATCTACAGCCCATCAACATAGTGAATCTACAGCCCATCGACATAGTGAATCTACAGCCCATCGACATAGTGAATCTACAGCCCATCAACATAGTGAATCTACAGCCCATCGACATAGTGAATCTACAGCCCATAGTGAATCTACAGCCCATCAACATAGTGAATCTACAGCCCATCAACATAGTGAATCTACAGCCCATCAACATAGTGAATCTACAGCTCATCACCATAGCGAATCTACAGCCCATCAACATAGTGAATCTACAGCCCATCACCATAGTGAATCTACAGCCCATCAACATAGCGACATCTACAGCCCATCACCATAGTGAATCTACAGCCCATCAACATAGCGAATCTACAGCCCATCAACATAGTGAATCTACAGCCCATCACCATAGTGAATCTACAGCCCATCAACATAGTGAATCTACAGCCCATCAACATAGTGAATCTACAGCCCATCAACATAGTGAATCTACAGCCCATCAATATAGTGATGTGCTGCACATCTAATGTGCTTCCTT